GGGGAGGAGGAGGAGGAGGAGGAGGAGGAGGGGGAGGAGGAGGAGGAGGAGGAGGAGGAGGAGGAGGAGGAGGAGGAGGAAGGAGGAGGAAGACCAACGGGGCGCAACGACGGCGACGATCGCGATCGCGACCGCGACCGCGTCGCGGAAGGCGCGGCGCAAGCCGTGTCCGGAGGGCGCTGGGGGCCTTCCCGCAGGAAGGCGGCGACTCGAAGGCGCGAGCCTAAATGGCTGCGGGAAGGGAACACGAGAAGTCACGACGTCGGATCCCCGGGGGCCCTGGGCGGCATTCGTCGCCGCGGCTTGAATCGCGTCGATATTCAAGTCAGAAGGTCAGATCGCGCCATATAAATTCCACTGGCGCCCACAGAAAATCAGAACGCGCCCCAAAACGTCACAGCGCGACCAGATGGCCAACAGCAACCTCGTATAGTGATGCGTGGTCATATTGAAATATACATATGTATACATATATATATATATATATATATATATATATATGTATTGATAGATAGAATAAGTCGGCGTCTTGCCATAAGGAATCAGCTGCAATTCTTCGTGGTTATACAGTAGTATGTGATGTTGTATATGCGCTATATGTGAATATGTACGGTTACACACAATTATATATATACTATATATATATATATATATATATATATATATATATATATGAACGCATGTGTATATATGTACGAATATGTATACATATTGTATATATATATATATATATATATATATTATATATTATATCGAAACCAATTGCCCTAGCCAGCCCAACCACCCAGCCCAACCAACCGGCCACCCAAACAATTCAACCGGCTCAACCAGCCCAACCAGCCACCCCGCAACCCCAGCCAACCCGCCACCCCGCCAACCCAACTCCCCCCGCCGCCTGCCCTCCGTCACCGTCGAGAAGGGGGGAAGTGTTTCTTACAAGCGAAAACCACAAAAATCACCCTCCCGGGGTCCGGCGGGTCAGCGGGGGGAGGGGAAATCGCACCGTAGTGTGCGGGAGGGGGTTTCTCGCCCGAGGTGCCCGGGGACGATTTTGGGGCCTCAAGTGCGACACTGTCGTCATTTTATTACCTTCGCCGCGCTCCCCTTCTCAACGGAAAGGCTCCCGTCCGTGAAACTGTCGTCATTTTTCAGTTCCCGCGAGAGGCTTCTTACAGGCCCCCAGAGGCTCCAGGAGGGCCCACGGCGGCCTCGGGAGTGCCTAGGAGATCTCTGGAGGGCCCCAGAAGGACCCACTCTGCACCGCGCCCCCCTTCTCAACGGAAAGGCCTCCGTGCGTGAAATTGTTTTCATCATTCCGCCCCCGCGAGAGGGTTCTGAGAGGGCCCACGGAGGCTCCAGGAGGGCCCATGGCGGCCCCGGGAGGGCCCACGAAATTTCAAGAGCCCCCCGGAAGACCCATTTTGAATTACACTCAGGGAGCTCCAGAAGGCCCAGGAGGCTCCAAGAGGCCCCGAAGAGCCCAAACAGGCCACAGGACCCCCAGCACGCTCTAGGAGAGCCAAGGCGACACCAAGAGGCTCCGGGACGGGCGTCATTCCCTTTCCTCCTCCTGCTCGTCGTCGTCATCCTTCTCCTCATCCGTCCTGCTTTTAATCATTCCCCCCCTCTTCCTCCTCCTTCTCCTCCTCTTTCTCTTCCTCCTCCGCCTCCTCCTCTTCCCCCTCCTCCTCCGCCACTTCCTCCTCCTCCTCCTCCTCCTCCTCCTCCTCCTCCTCCTACCTCATCCGTGGCCTCGGTGGTTCCGATAGCGCCGTGCGCGAGATCCGCCTCCTCCCCATCCGTCCTCCTCCCTCCCTCCTCCCTCCTCCTTCCCTCCCCCCCCCCTCCCCCCCTCTCTCGGGAGCGTCGCGAAGAGGCCTTTTCCGAGGAGACTTTGGCGACAACAAGGGCGCCGACACGATGTTCGGGGCATTTGTCTGACCACCTGCGAGCCCGGCGCAAGCGCGCGAGTGGCGGAGGAGACGCCGCGACGCTCCACGGAGTAAACTGCACCCAGTTGGTTTCTACCCCCGCGAGGGGCGTTGCAGGGTGTATATATACATATATATATACACACACATATATATAAATGTATATAAATATATATATATATATATATATATATATATATATATATATATATATATATATCCGTGACACCTACCGAGTTATACGCACGCAGCTGTGAGCGCACGCGTACAAACGCGCGCGCGATTATGCGCGTGAACGTAGCCGCATATGCGAGTACAACGTGCGACTTGCTGCATGCGCCACATGTAACTTTGCACGCGTGCATGTGTGTGTACGCGAATGTAAATATGTATGTGTGTGCATGTATGTGTGCATGTATGTATGTATGTATGTAACTATACATCACGTTTGTATACGTGAAACTGTGTGACTGCGCTACGTCGTGATCTACTGCGCGCATGCATGCTGCGCGCACGCGCGAAGAGGACCCAGAGGGGGGGACCGACCCCAGGCGCCAAGGGCGCACCTTCACGTCGGGTGAGCTGGGGCTGGACACGCCTGCTCGCTCCGCCCCCTTCCGGGTGGTAGCACCGGAACTGTTCGTCCGGGTTGGAGCCGCAAGGGGCCTGGACTGTTCCGGACCTGCGCCTCCCAAGTCCAAGAGCCTCGACACCTCCTCGGCCTGCGGGTTCTGGCTCCCTCCCCAGATGTCCCACCCCCCCAATCACGGGCCCCCCTCCCAACCAAGAGGTCGCTTGCGGGCCCCCCGAAGCCTCCCAAGGAGGCCCAGGATGCCATTAATGCGACCAGAATGGCGACCTCCAGCATTGCCACCATGTGGATTCAAGCGCGCGCGCGCGCGTGCACGCGCGCGGGCCCCTCCGCAAAAGCGCAGCTCCAGCCGACACGGCTGGAGGCAGGAAGAGAGAGAGAGAGAGAGATAGGCGTGCCTGCTGCAGAAACTCCTAACGTTAAAACAGGGCATTAACACAAGCATAAAATCATCATCAAGGTTGTCGTCGTCGCCGTCAACGTCGCCGTCGTCAACGTCAACGTCGCCGTCGTCGCCGCCGTCGCCGTCGCTGTCGCCGTCGCCGCCGCCGTCGTCGTCGTCGTCGTCGTCGTCGCCGTCGCCGTCGATCCGACCTAGCTCCCCGCAACGCCGGGCTCGGACCGACCGCTCCGACGGGCACCCCGCGGAGGAGGTGCCGCCCCCGGCCGCGCTCAGGGCGCGCGCGCCCGCGCGCCGCGGGGATGCCTTTTGGGTCCTGGACACGTTTTTGATGACCCTGCGGCCCGATAACTATCGGCGACAGGCGAGGAGGGGAAAAGAGAAGATATACTAGCGTGTTCCACTACTCGCAAAGTAACTACTCGCAAATTGCCTGGATCCGCTGCGAAGGATCTACGATAAACTAAATCAAAGCAAACATGTGTTTTTCGGGCAATTGCGAGTAGGCACTTTGCGAGTAGTGGAACGCACTCGGTAAGAAGAAGAGGGTCATCTCAGAAGGCGGTGGGTTTTTTCAGAAGCCCTCCGAAAAATTGTCCGTGTCTTCGGCGAAGGCTTTGGAAATTCCTCAAGAGGCCGGAGGATTTCAAAACCTTCTGAGAGGGTCCGCCCCTTCTCGCTTCCCTCCGGGGCTCGCCGCCGAAACAAGCCCTAGAGGCCGAAATCAATGAAAAATACAAGGATTGAACATATCTTCCGAGATCTATCTGGGTTTGCTGCATGGCAAGACAGTCGTTGTTTCATGTTTCGCGATAGCGCCATTAGCTGGCCCCGGCCCCCTCCCCCACTGGAAACGTGACAATTCGCGCTGGCGCTGTGTGGGCAGGCAACCCTAGGCATTCTCAAACGGCGCCAACACAAATCGTAATGTCTTTGCCCCCCCCCTGGCACAGCCCGTTATCTGGAGGCCTCCCATATAGGGTCCGAGTAGATGGGGTCAGAGGATCGCGCCGCATCGACAGTGCATTGGCGACGCCAGCAATGCGTCGGCACCGTCGGCGTGGAAAATAGAGGGCTCCATATCCCAGGAGATCTGACGTTGCAGAAAAACTGCAACATCCCAGAAAATCGCCACCAAAACCTTGGACCCTATCTTCCTGCGCCATTGCCCGAGCCAAATCGATCTGCGACGGTCTCGGGGTCCGAAACCGCGTGAGAGCGCCCGGTGCGAAAAAACTGCAACACCAAGACTTCAGGGTCGAATCGTACCGCCGATGCATCGACGATGCGGCGCGATCCTCCCACCCCATCCACCTCGGCCCTTCCAGTCTTAAGTCGGGCCTGTCCCCCTACAGGAGGATTTTCGACGAAAAATACAAAATACCCCAAAAATAATAATAATAATAATAAAAAAAGTCTGGGGACTATTTTGGGGTATGTTTTGACCTTTTGGGGGCATTTTTGGGGTATGTTTTGTTTCGTCGAAAATCCCCGTAGGGGGACACGCCCGACATAATGCTAGAAGTGCCCCATCGCCCAAGGTGCCCACCAGATTTCCGAGGCCCCCGCGGCCTCGGGGAGGAGTCGGGTGCTGCTAGAAAAGCCCCATGTGCCCAAGGTGCCCCCCGGATTTCCGAGGAGGCCCCCACGGCCTCCAGAGCACCCCGCACGAGGCCCGGGGGGGCCGGATGGGCTCCAAAGTGAAGCGAACAAGAAGGGGACACGCCCGGCATAATTCCAGCCTCAGCGTGGCCCGGCCACGGCCCGCCCGCGTGCTCGCCGGCCGCAACATGAAGCCTAAAACGAGGCCAGGACGGGCATCGAGAATCTCTGAGATCCCGCGGCCATGGAGGAGGAGGAGGAGGAGGAGGAGGAGGAGGAGGAGGAGGCAGGAGGCAGGATGCAGGAGGCAGGAGCCTCCCGATGTCTCGTGCGCCGCGGCCTTCTCGGAGCTTTCAGGAACGCTGTGAGAGCGAACGCTCTGGAGCGCTCTGGAACGGCTTTGTCCTCGCCCTAACTGGCCCCGTTCGGCGAACACGGCCGCGTCCGCCCGCTCCGAGAGAGGGCGTCCGGGCGCCTGCTCGTCCCTGGACGTCCTGCTGGAACCCTCGCCTCGCAGCGGGCGGCGGTGGCTGCGCCCGCGCGAGGCCCCGGGCGGCGGCGGCGGGGGTCCCCGCCCGCCCGCAGGCGTGTTCCCTCCGCGCCCTGCTGTCCAACCAAGGAGGCAGGGGGGGAGGAGCGAGCGAGCGAGCGAGCTAAGACGAGGCCAAGACGAGGATAAAGTCGGGTGAAGATAAATCGGGGATCTCTGAGATCAGGCGGTTCTGGAGGATGCCTCGGGCGCCGCGGCCTTATCACTCCACCCTTGTAATGTAACGGCTGCGAATTTCTAGCTTCAAGATCATAAACACGTGAGGAAGTTTCCTGCGAAACACCGGCCCACCCTACCGACACCTCTGGGGGTGCGACAAGGAGAAGGAAGAGGAACAACCCCCAAGCGGCCCCCATGCAACCGCGTCGGACCTTGGCCCAGGATTGGCCTGGCTGGGGTCGGTGCAAACGGATGATTGGCGCACGGCTGTCACCCGCCACCCCAGAGTTCAGGACGTCGTGGGCGTTCTTCACAAACTCGAACATCCACCCTTGGACGAAGTCCTGCGACGAGGGGCACCGCAGGGATAGGTTCTGGATTCATCATCTGGACGACAGTCCACCACCAGACTCCTCCTTTCTTAGACCAGCTGTCGAGCTCGTGGGAGCTCGAAAACCAGACTCCTCCTCCTCCTCCTTCTCCTCCTCCTCCTCTTCCTCCTCCTCCTCCACTCCACATCCCACTCCCTCCTCCTCCTCCTCCTCCTCCTCCTCCTCCTCCGTTCCCTTCCTTATACACAACTCCTCCCTGTCACACCCCGAGGCCAGTCGGAAGGGTGAGCAGGGCGATTCGCCTGAGATTCCCTCACCACTTCTGATCATGAGGCTTAAGAACTGGCAACAGTTTCACGGATTGACGGCGGGCCGTTTTCAAAATGTGGCTCTCGCTGGATGGAGGGCTCAAGGCTCAAGGCCCCTCAAGGTCACAGATCCCCTAGCATTATCTCCATTGCGTTGTATCCATTATGTCTGTGTCCCGATTTCTCTTTCGGTGTTCTCTTGACTGGCGACACGAAGCGTTACGACATTGGCACTCCTCTGGGTGGTGAACGGAAGCAGACCCGTACCGAATCCCCCCTGCAGCAAATGGACGGTTTGGACGATGACGATCGTCCGGCGGCTGCCTCAGGCGAGGTGGAGGCGACCATGATGCACATGATGCAGGCCATGATGAAGAACATAAAGGACCTCGGGAAAGAGGTGCGGAGCATGGCTCGCGAGAACAAGGAGGCCCTGAATGAGGCGAAGCAGGCGAAGAAGATGGCCACGTCCGCGAAGCAGGCAGACCTGGAGGCGAGCATGACCGTCAGCAGCGTGGAAGACAAGATGACCAAGCTCCAGGAGACGTCCATCACCAAAGATGACGTGGCGAAGATGATCGAGGAGAGCTTGTCGCAGTGCACGACTCCGAGAAACATAGCTTCAACGTCCAACCCATCATCTGCCGTTGCTGTCATTGGGAACGTGTCCAACGCGTCGACCTTTGATGGGGCAGCTAAGTGGGCTATGACTTTATGTACTGATTTCAGTGCCCCAATTCCCACACCAAACAACATGTTTTGCAAGAGTGAGTTCAAGGGCGTGTTATTCATCAAGTTCGCCAAGCGCGGCCTTGGTACGGTCGATGCCTTCGCGAAGAGGCAGCCCAAGAATTTAGGAAACACCGTCTGGGCGAAGCCGGACCTCCCCATCGACATCCGCACGCAGAACGGGGTCCTCTTCAGGTAGCGCAGCATGCTGGCGAAGCGGGGTTTCAACAAGGCGCGCATCAACATCAACACGGACGACTCTTCCTTGTCGGTTGCCGGGACGGTGGTGGCCAGCACGGTGGTGAAGGACTTTCGCTTCGAGCTGAAGTGGGTCGACCTGGAATGGGGAAGTGGGATGCATTATAGTCGTCAGGTGAGCTCTCCGAAATCACCACGGCGGCCCAGGCGTAGCTCGACAGGGCGAAAGCCGGGGTTGGCTCCATGTAGGGGTCACGGCGGTGCGCAGACAGACAGGAAGTTTCGGTTTCACCCCTCGCGGCGGAGAGCGGCGAGGACGCGGACATACTCAGTATGAGCCGTGACAGTATTGTACGCGTTGGTTCTTGGAACATTGAGGGTATGGCACAGTTGAATTTAGTTGAAAATTGCAGTGGCATGAGTGCGCAGTCCGTCGATATCATGTGCTTGCAGGAGACGCGCAAGCCGAATTCCGACCATTATGACACCGAAGATGGCTACATGGTGGTATTGTCAGGCACGGCAGGGGCGCATCCCGAATTTGGTGTAGGTTGTGTTACCGCTCCAAGCTTTCGTTCGCGAGTGTGTGGTTATGTACACGTCGGTCGGAAGAAGTAGGTAGAAACATGAAGTAGGAAGGCGGATATAGTGGATTGGGTCCAGGTCCTCCCAGAGAGTAACAAAACACAGCAAAAGCACATCAGCTAGACAGCCGCATTGCCTCCATGAAGATCCGCACTGGCGCTGGGCGGCTCACGCTATGCACTGCATGCGCCCCGCACAACGACAGGCCGACGGATGAGAAGCCGAGCTCTTGCGACCGCCTACACCGCCATTTGGCGGCACCCCCTGGTTATGGTCGTCGGCTAGTGTTAAGTCGGGCGTGTCCCCCTACAGGGGAATTTTGGGCGATTAATTAAAAAGTCTTCAGAAAATGCACCAAAATTGTCAAAAATAATCAGAAAATCGTTCCTAGACCATTTCTTACTACTTTTGAATATTCCCCCTGTAGAGGGACGGGCCCGACTTAAGGCTAGCGTTCGGAACGCCAGACTTGGTGGAAGACGTGCTGGAGAGGATGGCATTGTGGGTGAGCATTCGTTCGGCCAAGAGGCGGTCAAGAGAACTGAGGTCCCAAACCGCGATTTGTTCATGGAGATATGCAATTACGGATTTTGAATTCATCGTCGCGAACACTGTTTTCAATCTTCCACTTAGAGTTCAAGGCTCCATGCCACGAGCCCTGAGTCCGGCCTGGCGGCCCCATCACGGCCAACGGTTACAACGCCCTTGACTTGCTGCTGGTTCCGGCGCCTCTGGAGAGAAACCTGATGGACATACGGAGTGACGCGACGACCACCCTCGCATCTCACCGTTACCCAGTGTTGGCAAACTTCGTGACCGGCGAGGCGGAATCCGGACAGGAGACGAGGCAGAGACGGAAGCGTAAAGATTGGGGGAAGCTCTGATCACCTTCTGGGCGAAAATCTTTGTCGCAAGAGGTTTCGCGATTGACTACGCCGTTGTCTCACTGTGGCTCTTTGTCCCAGCGCAGGCAAGCTACTTCGGGCTGTGTGTTGGCTGCGGCGGAGGCCGTCGTGCCAGACATGGTGCGCGCGCCGAACAAGCCATGGATCTCCCAGCGCACGCTGTCCCTCTTGAGTGGCCGGCGGCCCGGCGGCAGGCGCGCGCCGATGGAGATTGGGAAACAGAGCTCGCTTTGAAGTATGTCACACGATCTGCAAAACAAGATCATGCCAGGAGGCTGGAAGGTCTTACTAGTTCTGGCGACTGGGGCTGCATCAAAGCTCACGAAACCGAAAGCGATACCTCAAAGGCCGTTTGAATAACGGCGCGGGTGGCCCCGTCGCGACAGACGAGCGTGCGACCCTCTCAACATCTCAACGCGATCCAATGGGATGTACGACACGTCACTCTTACGCCGAATAAGACATTATCTACCCTCGCCTGAATATCATGTTGGGCATGTTCACAGATGTGGAGCTCCGGAAAGCTTTGCAACGCATGCGCTCTGGGAAAGCTTGTGAGCCTGACGACATTCCAGCAGAGGTGTACAAGGCGCTGGCCGACGAGCCCGGGCAGTTGCAGTGGCTATTGGCTGTATGTGACGAAGCTTGGAACTGCTAGGAACTTCCATATTCATGGTGCGCTTCGAAAGTGCGCCTGCTATACAAGAAAGGAGACCCAGCTAATTGCGACAACTGTCGCCCAGTATCTTTGCAGCGCGTCGCAATGAAAATCTGTTCCGCCATGTTGAAGGCAAGGCTGCTGGACGCTGGCATCGACGACGACGACAAATTGTGACGAACCCAATTTGGCTTCCAGGATGGGCGCAGTACGGAACACGCTATTTACGCAGCGAGGTGGAGCATAGAACTGGCGAGGGCAAAGAAGAATGGCTCTGTAACTCTCGTCGCCCTGGACTGGAAGACAGCGTTCGATCGCATCCATGTTGACAGCTGGCTGGACGCGCTCAGGAGGCTAGGGATCCCAGAAGGGTCTCGGACAATGATACGCGTGATCATGACTGAGATGGCGTTTGTCGTCAGCGAGTGCGGTAACGATTCTGCTTTGAGGCCGCAGCTGTCTGGCAGCTCTCAAGGGTGCACGCTCAGCCCAGGGCTGTTTGTTCTCGTAAGGACAATGCTAATGCACGACGCTGTCGGTCTCTTTGTAGGTGGAGCGAAGGATGCTTACATGAAGGGGGACTTGTGCGAGTGCGTCTACGCGGACGACACCCTGCGTATTGGTACAGACGACGACTTCTTAAATGAGCACTTGAAAGCAATTTCTGAAGCGGGTCGCAGATACGGCCTGGAGTTGCCCTGGGACAAATTCCAGGTCCTTGCTGTGAGAGCGAAAAGAGACGTTTGTGCTCCGGATGGCACAGCGTTCAAACAAGTCAAGCAGCTTCAATTCTTAGGTGCACAGCTGTCAGCCGACGCAGACGCGGGGCCTGAACTAGGGCGCAAGATCGATGAAGCAAAAAGGGTTAGGCGTCGCTTCATAAATTGTTGTCCCACTGCTCTCTGACTTCGAGACGCAAACTATGTATGTTCTCGTCGGCGGTGGAATCGAGTTTGCTCTGGCTCGCTGGAGCATGCTTGAACAAAGCCCAAGCGCGTCGTCTGGACGGCTTCCAAAACAGGTGCATCAGAAAAATCATTGGCATCAAGCCGTAATGGTTGTCCAGAGTACCAAACGCAGAAATACTGACCCGTGCGCAGCACACGGATGACAGCACCCTGCTACTATACCGGCAGGTGCTTCTGTTCGGCGACGTGCTGCGCCCAAACGATAACAGTTTGCTTGGCCGTGCTACGTTCGCGCCAAATTCTTTCACGCCGGCGACTGCTGCCAGAGTGCGGCGCAGAGGTGCGCCGAGCAGAAAGGTCGCCCCCACAATGCTGAAGCAATCTGTAGGCATTTTCAACACTGTTCACGCGACGGTAGACGCAGCGCAGTCTGAATCTAGCTGGAAGCACACGCTGCGCCATCACATTCTCTCACTGTGATTATCCACATGCTTTTGCCTATTGTATTACCCGCGCTCTGTCTGTCCACGCACCGCCTGGTGCACGACTCGTAAGAAAATCACAAGAAGAAGAAAGCTCTCACCTTAGCGCCGCGCACATTCGTGTTTAAAACATGCAAGAGTTTCACTGATTGAGGGTGGGTCTTTTTCAACATGTGGTTCTCGCCTTAGCGCCGCGTGCATCCGTCTTAAAACATTGCAAGAGATTCACAGATTGAGGGCGGGTGATTTTCAACATGTGGTCCTCGCCTTAGCGCCGCGCATTCGTCTTCAGAAATTGCAGCATTTTTCAGATTGTATGAGTTTTCACGGATTCCCACAGGTAACGTACCAGAAATGGAGTTTGGGAACGATTCACGATTGTCAGGGAGCTACAATTACGTTTGTTCGCGGTGCTGACGTCCCAGAAACGGCGTTCTGACGTAATCCGAGATCGTGCAGACGCAGCAGTCAAGTTGATCCCTGGCGTTCTTCCGAGAATGGTGTTTTGGCACGCTTCAGGATCTTCCAACGGTTCTCCCCACGGGGCATTTCCGTGAGTGGAAATGAACCCATGTACGGGCCAATGAAGAAGGAACTTGGAGGGATGTTTTATTCCGACATAGTTGGGCAGTCTTGCGTTTACACTAGTCAATCCTCTCCTCCCCTGAAAGTTCGTCGTCCGTGCGAAAACAATTCGCGCAAGAGCACCGCTCGCTCCAGCGAAGAGCAATAAGTCTGCGCGCGCGAAGAGCCCTTCTTCGTCCTCCTCCGCCCGCTGCCCCCTCCCAAAGCCGGGCGCGGATCGGACCGAAGCGAACCGAAATCCCAGATCTCGGCGCTGGGAACACGCATTTCGGCGCAAATTCCGGTTCCTGGCGCTGGCTTGGCCTGGTCCTCCTCCCACCTTCACTCACGTCTTCTTGCGTCTTGTCACCTGCTCCCACCCTATCTGCCCCTCCTCTGGCTTAAGCAGAGGGCTCTCCGCTCAACTCCCGCGGACGCTAAATATCTATGCGGACATCAGGCGCGGTCAGCCTTGCTAGGTATCGCGGACGGGGTGGTGGCGGTCTTGGAGCGGCTCGAGGAAACCCTGCACGTGTACCTGGACCTGAGAGCCTCGTGGCGACGCTCAACACGCTTGTGAAGCCCTCGATCATGCCCGTCGCACAAGACTTGACGCGCCGTCTGCGACGCCCCCAGCAGGAGCGCCTCCCCGCCTCGCGTCGCAGACCGAAGCGAGGCGGGTGCCAGCTGGCAGCAGGCATCCCTCCGTGATCGGTGCCTGCTTGTGAAAAGTTTAGTGGACCTTCACACTTAGAGGAAACAGAAGTCGTAACAAAGCTTCCAAGGTGAGCCCCGCCTTGAGCCTTGAACCGCTGATCGCGGTGTGGGGCCATGTCCCTCCGCAGTGGGGCGCTAATGGCAGTGGACGCGTTCGTGCCCGACAAGGCTCTCTCTCCAGACCACCTCCCGCGTCGGCGGTAACGGCAGCTGCAGCGCCATACCCTGCCGTTGTGCTGTCAGTGTCGCCGCAGCGGCATGAGACGCCTTCAGCGTGCACTGCTCCTCATTTACCTACCGAAACAGGTGAGGAGATAATCCTCCTCACCCCCAATCACCACCACCAATACCACCATCATCATCAACAACAAGATCATCAGCATCATCATGCTCATCATCATCAACAGCTGCATCAGCATCAGCATCATCATCATCATCATCATCATCATCATCATCATCATCATCATCATCATGATCATCATGATCATCATCATCATCATCATCATCATCATCATCATCAGCATCATCATCAGCATCATCAGTATCATCATCCTCATCCTCATCCTCATCCTCTACCGCCCCCTCCTCATCATCACCATCGTCGTCACTATCATCATAATCATCACCAGCAGCAGCATCAACACCATCATCATCAGCAACAGCAGCACCACCATCACCATCGCCGTCAGTATCATCACCATCATCAGCAGCATCATCATATTTGTCTGCATCATGATGATCATCACCATCATCATCATCATACACAGCATCATCGGCAGCATTATTACCAGTATGATCAGCATACTCATCATCATCATCATCATCATCATCACCATCACCATCACCATCACCATCACCATTATTATCATCATCATCATCAGCATCATCATCATCATCATGCTCCTTATCCTCCCTTTCCTCCTCAGACTCGCGAAAGCGAGCTGGGGCCATTCGGGCCCGAGGCATGGCCGTGAACGGGGCTGAATGGCCGCCGCGGCATGCAGTCGCGGAGCGCGCTTCTTCCTTTATGCTCTTTCCTCTCTCTTCTCTCTTCTCTCCTCCTTCTCCTCCTCGTCCTCGTCCCCTCGTCCTTCCCTCCCGCTGTGGCCGATGGCCTCAGCTGGACAAAAGCAAATCCTCCTCGTCCATCGTCAGCGTTATCATCATCAGCAGCAACCTCATCATCATCACCATCATCAACAACATCATCACCACCACAATCATCATGATCCATCATACATCATCTTCCCCTTACATCATGACCCACTTCCTTCCGCCTCCGCCTCCGCCTCCTCCTGCTCCGTCCTCTTTTCCCCTAACACCATCCCCCGAGAGGACATCAAGGGCGCTGGACCGTCACCTGATCCGACCCCCATGTGCGGAGGGGGTCCTGGAGCATGCCAAGCTCAGGCGTTTCCGCCGCGTTGGTCCCGTAAGGGGCCTTGAAGTGGGCGACGTCGTAGGACCGCGTCAGCTTGTCAAAAGCCTCCGCAAGGGGGGAAGGGAGGGAGGGAGGGAGGGAGGGAGGGAAGGAGGAGGAGGAGGAAAAGAAGGAGGAGGTGTGTGTTCGACGAGGGGCATGGCAGAAGCGTGCTCCGAGAGTTCTCTGTGCTAAACTCCTATTCAGGAAAATCCTGCTCAACTAGAGAAGAGGACCTGAGACCTGAGCACAGAGCGACAACACAGAGAGGCGAAGGGGAGCACACGAACGTGAGAACATGCATGGGTATAGGCAGACATACGGATGCTACACACAAGCAGAGACGCACGGGCCTGGAAACTCAAGCTAATCTGGAGGACGGCTTTCTCCGCAGCGGATCGGCGTCGGGTGAACTCCGAACTTTTTGCGAAGCTCGAGGAAAAGAAAGTATTATTGGCCCGTGCATTTGCCAAACAAGCTCTTAGGTGCCCCAGCATGGCAGGGCAGTGCTGCTGCGCAAGATCGGAGATCCCCTGCTTGAGCTCGGCGGCGATATCCCGGCTCGCGCTGTCGTCGGTCGGCGCTGCAATGCACTTCCCCACCTGGCGGGGCGGTGGGCGCGGCGAAGAACTCACGTCGAAGGAGACGACGCGCTTCTGCACCTCGATCTCCACGAAGACCGGCCCAAGCGAAGCCTCCGGCATCTGGAAAAAAGGAGCCTCGAGGTTCCACAGAGAAGGCGCGTATAGCGGCTCTGGCTCGCTGACGGGCGGGGCAACCTTTCGCGAGATGGCGGGCAGCCGAGGGGAAAGAGCCAGCGGCGGCTTCGGCGGCAGAACAGCAAGTCGACCAACGCAGCCCCGCTGATCCCCACCGAGAGGGCGAGTGCGGTCAAGAGCACGGTTGTGAACGACGTCAGGTAGCTGAGCTGGGCCCGAGCGGCCAAGCCCGCAGGCTTGCGCCAAGCCGCGGACGTCGGCCGAACGCGGCGCGCGTCCGACTCGGGCCGCATAGCCGAGCCTCCGCACAGCGGCGAGGACACTCGGCCTCGCCTGGCAAGGATCATGCCGGGCGGAAGGGCCTGGTCGCGGTCGCTAAGAGCGGCGCGAGAGCTCGACGCGGCGCGCACGGGCCCGCGCCGCGATGGAGCGAGGGCCTGGCTGGAGAGCACAACTGCCGCAACCCAAAAAGCGCCGCCTGGAAATGTCTCCGACGGCTCGGGCCTTGAGCCAGAATGGCTGCGGAGGGGGAGCGGGAATGAATAGGCGCGAGGGGGCTTCGTCTTGGTCAGCAAGAGCGAATTACACTCCCTCTTCGAAGACGCCATGGATCAGATCAAATACTCCATGACAAACGAAACTGACGCGCACAGCTCGGACATCGCCCCAAGAAGCCGTGAACTTGTCGCTTCCATAGCAGCGCGCGCCCAGGGCGAGGATTTGGAGCTGTGCTCGAAACAGGCACGGGGGTCCGCGTTCTCCAGAATCAACTGCACCATCAGGACTCACGAGCCGCCTGGGCGCGTCGCACTAGGGGTTCTGCATTGTAGCAGAAGGCGCAAGCACGCAACCCTGGAAAGTGGACCGTGGCAGAAATCCGCGCCATGCGGCTGCGCGCATAAGAACACGGCGCCCGCGTAAACTCACCGAATCAGATCGCGGCGATCCCCCGCGACGAATTGACCAACGCAGACATTCAAGATAACTGCGCGCCAGGCACTCTTGCAACGCACGTCGCCTCATTTGCCCCGCCGGTAATTCGAGAAACTGTCGACGCGGCTGCATGGTGCATTTTGCCAAATAAATTCGCATGATTCGATGGCGATTTGTTCCGCGTCACTCTGGGCAGTGGCGCGGGCTCCTTCTTCACGCAGGACCGAGCGGGCGCTTCGCTCATCAGAGGAACGCACATCCCAACGCAAATTTGGCACGGCAGGTATGGCATCAATTTCTACGCAAGACTCAGAAATTATATTTTCATAATCGCATGCCCTCCAACGGTTGGCTGGTATGCGAGGCCACGCAGTGAGTGGACCCGTTCAGGCAGATTCGCTATTGATGAATGAAAATTATGCCCGCGTTCTGCACGTGTCCTGGACGTGTAAATCCGCCGACCCCTTGGGGTTCATCGGCGCGTGACATCATCCCCCTCCCCAAACCCCTCCCCCGGGAGCCCGGTCCGGTCGATTTGGAGAGGGGGGGGTCTGTTCAAATTCCCCTTTTCCCCCGGGGGGGTCATCCGCCCCCGAAAATCCTGCAGAGACTCCTCCGGTGGCCTCGAATTGGCCCCGGGACGCACCACGACGGCTCAAGAGGACCTCCACGTGGCCTTCGGTGGCTCCAAAATTCCCCAATATGGGCTCAAGACAGCCCACGATGCCTCCAAGACGCTCCAAGAGGCCCCGGAGGGGCGCTCCAAGAAGGTCCAAGGCCTCCAAGATGCGTCCCAATATGGTTCCTAGACGCAAAAATTTGCCCATTCCCTCGGTAAAACGTACATTTTTCACAGTTCGCCTTCTGGGTTTTCCGATGCTCCCAGACGGCCCAAGAGGCCCCCAAGACCGCCCCAAGATGGCCCAAGAAGCCTCCAAGAGGGCCCCAAGATAGCCCAAGAGGGCCCCAAGACGGCCCAACAGGCGTCCAAGACGGCCCAAGAGGGCCCCGAAAACGGCCCCAAGAGCGCTCCAGGAGCGCTCCTAGTGGCCTCCAAGAGAGCTCAACATGGTCCCAGACGGTCCAAGAGCGATCAAAGACACCGAAGATGGCCTCAAGACGGCCCCAAGAGGCCCCAAGAGCCATCCAAGATGCGCACCAAGAGGGCCTCTAGACGCAAAAAATTGGCCCGCTCCCTTTGCAAAACGTGTTTTTGTTTTACACAAATTCGCCTCGTGGGCTTTCCGACGCTCCCAGACGGCCCCAGAGGCCCCCAAGACCGCACCAAGACGGTCCAAGAAACCTCCAAAGAGGGCCCCAATACAGCCCAAGAGGGCGCCAAGACAGCTCAAGAGGCGCCGAAGACGGCCCAAGAGCCCGAAGACGGCCCCAAGAGCGCTCCAGGAGCGCTCCAAGTGGCTGCCAAGAGAGCTCAACATGGTCCCACAGGGTCCAAGAGCGATCGAAGACGCCCGATATGGCCTCCAGCTGGCCCAAGACGCCCCCAAGGTGCCTCCAAGATGCGTCCCAAGAGGGTCCCTAAACGCAGAAAAAATCCTCATGTCCTTCGTAAAACGTATAGTTTTCACACATTCGCCTCTTGGGCTTTCCGACGCTCCAAGGCGGCCCAAGAGGCCCCGAAGACCGACCCAAGACGGCCCAAGAGCACCCCAAAACGGCCCCACGACAACCCAAACTGGCCCCCAAGACGGCGCAAAACGCCCCCAAAACGGCCCGAGAAGGCTTCAAGACGGCACCAGGAGGGGCCCAAGAAGGCAACCAAACATATTAAAATCTAGCTTTCCGCCCCCACGAGCCCCAGGGGGGCCCAAGAGCGCCCCGAGAGGCGGCCAGAGGCCCACAAGAGGCGGCCAAGACGCCCCAGGGAGCCCCCAAAAAGCCCCCAGGAGGCCTCCAAAAGACCCCCAGACGCTTCCACATTGCGAGCCGCCAAGCCAACTGCAATGCACTCCGCGCGTGCAGCCCTGCTCTTCCTCGCGACGTGCTCGCAATATTGCTCGGCGCTAATGCGCTACAGCCGCGCGAACTGTTTCGCGCGCGCTGCGAGGGTCAACAGCCTCTGCGCCCGTTTCGACTCATCTGCCACATCTTTCGCGGCGATGCCTCGCTGATCACAGCTTCCGCGCGCTACTCTTGCCCCCTTCGTCTTCCGGCGGTCCTCCACTTGGTTGCGGGTCGAAAGGCCGACCTCCCAGAAGGACACCCCGCGCCCGGGCGCACAGCGCGCAAGGCGCTCGCAAAACACGCCCCAGACCACCTGCATCACGCAAACATTTGGACCCCCTACGTATCTGCCACCACCCGCGCGCGACACCGCACCCTCACACAAGACGCCGCTGGCCAGAAACTCCTGGCCTCGCAACGCTCACAGAAGGGGTCGGCGGATGCGGCGTAAGCCTGTAGAATCCGCGCCCGGAAGTGACGTGCTGAGCGGTAGCGTTTTTCGGCGAACGCCTTAATGCAACGTATCCAATGCATCCGAAGATTCCATAATTGCAACATATTGTATTGTGATACATTATTATGTCTCCCCCCGACCCCCCCCCCGGGAGCTGCGCCGCACCGCCGGACCAAAATGGCACCCCCTTCTGGTGCCCGAAAAACCTACAACAACCTATGAACAAACAACAAGTTCGGCCTCTTAGGCCTCTTGGGGTTCCAAGAGGGCCTCAATGCGGCCCAAGATGGCCCTGAGGCGGCCCAAGACGGCCCCAAGAGGGCACCAAAAGCTCCGAGGCCCAAGAGCGCCCATAACTGCGCCTCCAGAAGCCGAAATCATCGATTTCCCGATGGTTCTTGTAATATTTTAACGTTTTCGTCTTTTTCGACTTTCAAAAATCCACGACGGCCCAAGCAGCTTCCAGAATCGCCCCAGAACAACCCAAAAAGCCCCCAAGAGGGCCCCAAGACGGCCCAAGAGGGCCCCAAAACGATCCAAAGAGGCCCCCAAGACGGTCCAAGAGGCAGCGAAGACGGCCCAAGAGGACCACGAGAGGGCTCCAGAGCGGCCGCGAGAGGCCTCCAAGACAGCCTCCGAGGGGCGAAACGGCGCAAAAGCACCCCAAGACGGCCCAAGACGCCCCCAGGAGGCCCCAAGGGGCTCCCAACAAGCCTCCAATAAGTCCCCCAGAAGCTTCCAGAAGGCCTCCAACAAGCCCCCCCCCAAGGCCACACAGCGACTGGCGTGTAGTGTTATTTCCCCCCCTCTGGGCGAACTGCGGCGCAGCGCCAGCCAGGTGGAAGTTGGTCACTGCGGCGCCCATGATTGGAGCTGGCGATGGAAGGGGAGATGGGGGGGGCGCGTGAAAAGGAGGGAGGGGGGAAAGCCCCCAAATAAGCACCCCAAAAAGCCAAACGAAACTCCCAGGAGGCCTCCAGGAAGCCCCCAAAAGG